ATATGTATATATGTCTATATATATATATACATATATAAACATTTGAACGAATGGTGTTTTTGGCCTCTGGGGACATCAAAATGAAAAAGTAAATCGGTCCCGGGTCTAGGTCTTACCGTGCCACCTACGGTAATAGCTACTTCCCTATAGGGAAATTCGCTAAAAATATAAAAAATGTTTCTTCTAGGACGCACGATCCCGGGATTGTTTTCACATTACTCCAGGCTAGACATAGGGGTTGCGGAATTATCACTTATAAAATCTATAAAATAAAATACATTGCTGATTTGGCGGGATTTGAACCCGGGACCACTTTACCAGCTCGCTCCCCCTAATAGAATATAACTATGACGAGGTCAAACTTTCGAAAAGTAGATTTTAACATTAAATTAATACAGACTTAGACCTCTCAAAATTAGGAAGAACTATGAAGATAAATTGCGTGCGAGATACGTTGATAGTAAAAACGGTTAAAATACAAATTAATATTGAGTTGAAAAGGGGTTTTTTGTTAAAGATACGATGGTATAAAACTATTATTTTCTTCAATCACTAATTAATCATTAATATCAACCATATTTTTCTGTGTATGAAACATTTAAAATGAGGAGTTTCATTGAAGATTTATTATATTGTTTAACTACGAAATAAACAAAAACATATCGTAAGCATTAATATTCATATACACATATTCAGTATATACATATTCAGTGCCAAAAATGTATATAGGTGACAAGTTGCTAAGATATACTCATATTGTTTCATGTCAGTCCAAATAATTTTACCCAATTCACAGTCATCTGTGTTTTATTTTTTTAAATTGATAATACGTTAAATCACTATTCATTCAAAGACGTATTTGAACCTGTGAGCTTAGCAATACGTGCTTGTGTTACCAAGTTTCAATACCTGTTTAACTGTTTAAAATTATAACATTATAGAAAAATAATGACATATTATCTGAAAGAGTTTCAGATGTACCTTTCTTGTACTTTTTGCCAGAGATAAAGCAAGATATGATTTCAAGTTGACAGAAAACTTGACTGGAGAGGAAGCAAACTCTCTAACCCTTTTCCTTTTGTTTGTCTTTTCATCTCGTGTACTTGTAAACATTACTTTGTATTAACGTTGCATATGTTGTAAACTTAACAAATAAATGTTTAGGAAAAACGGAAACTAAGAAATTTTTTTACGTTAATTTACTGCCTTCTTTATGCATTTAAAAACAAACACTTTTACGAATTGCAGCATTAATTTTATATTCCTGTAAAAAGTAATTTAATGGCATGTTATTTATACAAGCATGTGACCCTGAAAATTTCCATTACTTGTAATAGGTTTCATAGCTGTTTACCATTGACATGACTTTGGTCTCAAGATCTCATTGAAGTTTGACTTTTTGTATTAATTGGTACAAACAACAAATTGTATCACATTTTGTTGTGTTAAGTTCGGGGAAAAGTCTGGTACTATTTTACTCTTACTTGAAATTACAACAAAATATAACCGAAACGAGCCTACAGTATCTTCCTACATTTTAAACGAAATCAAACATTCTACATTTATTATTTTAACTAGACATTTAGGTTTTGACTATAGACTGTGAAGTAGATATTTAATTTCCGCATTTATGTAGTTTCATAAAATATACCCTTATTAAATTGACTGACGAAAATTGTGTGCTGTTTGATACTTTTGTAAAAATAAAACAAATATTAAGCCATCGAAAACCAAAAACGTACTGCAAATATATTTTCTTTTCTTTAATCATGAATAAAAAAATAAGTTAAGATCTCAATAAAAAGGTTGAGCTACCATATTAAGTGACAGACGATTATGAATGCAAAAGGGAGCCCACCCAATAAATCAACATTAATTATGCAAACGGTTAGACCTATTGAATCTCCCGATATTGAATCGTACCATGAATACAGATGCTACATTACGATGGTATTCACTTGGAAGGAAATGTCTTCCTGTGGCTTGAAACAATTGGAAATTGAAAATCGAAAATGAATTCTAATTAAAATTGAAAATATTTATTCAAGATACTACAACGGCTTGGCAAAAAGAAATTGTAAATGTTTTCTTGCATATAGTTGCAAGTAATGGTATAGAGAAGTATATTTCTTTTATAAAAAAGACTTATTAAAACTGCTATGATAAAAGGATGCAATCTTGCTCGATGAAAATGCTTATCTGTTTTGATGGTTGAGTAAGGTAAAGATGATATTGTACATATCGATGAAGACATCAGCCACGAGAGGAGAGTGTTGGTGTGGGGGGAGGCTAAGTAGGGTTGTGATAAGCAAGCAAAAACAATATGAAAGTTTTACACTTGTAGTAATTAAATGCACTGTAACAAATTAAGTTTACTTAAATAATTAAGTTACTCTTAAGCACTCATAATAGTGGGAATAAATAATTGTGGAAAACATTGGTAAATCTTTAAGGCAACGTAGCAATTAGAGTTAGTTGATGTACGCAGATTGTTTTATTTGTATATAAATACCGCAAGACATTATGCAAAACTATAGTGTGGCTCAGAATGTTTGAAATGCACACAATTGTTAAAGCCAACAGTTAAACGAGTACGAAAATACTCAAGGGACCTCCGGCGTTTAACATAAACATATGATACAAGTATCTCGTTATCTCTATCCAGTAATCGTAGTTACCCTACTCTCCTGTAACACCAGGAGCACGGTTGGTCAGTGAGAAATCACGAGTCTGCAATAGAGTCTCGTGTTCAAGTCCCGTCAATCACTTATAAGTTTATGCTATGTGGCGATGCTGAAACATACATATCACATGTGTTGTTATTCTTGAAACAACTTTGAGGTTCCATTTGACTACACATAAAATATAGAAATAATAGAGGTCTTCATAACTTAACATAACAATTTATAATGTCCTCAAGCTCCTGTAATCCCTTTTAAATGCTACTAATAACATGAATGTATTGTTAACAGTCAAATAATTGCTTTCAAGCGCTGTAATAAAAATAACACACTCTTCACCTATGATGAAAGTCAGCTGAATGAAAACAAAGCCAACGTATGAATGTTTTTGTCAAACAAGTACAAACACACGATTCCACACAGGAAGTAACAGCTGTGAACAAGGCAATGCATTTAAATCAGCTGTTTATGCTGTAATTGAATGCCCCTATTGGTATTCATAGTGCTTCTCTGTATGGTTCCACTAATTCAATCGCACCCAATTAACTTCCGGAACATTTCATAGTTTGTGCAATTTGGATTGGCAATTTCTGAGTTGTGGTGTTGCCAACGTCACACTGTTCAATAGTGATTGTAAAGGTATATGGACGTGTTGAACATTATGTAATGTGGTATGATAATGCACTGTCATAAATGATATAATGGTTAATGATAATAGAAGTAGGACAGTTGTGTTTACAATCTATTTAGATTTTAATACATTAACTATTAAATTTGTATAAGTAGAATACACTAGTTTACTAGTTTTTACAAGTTTCAATCCCTCTAAAGTTGTAGAGTACCGTACATAGCGAGTACAAAAGTGATCATCAATGTTGTATTATACTGGTAACACATCGGTTATTCAAATAGGAAATTGTTATGAGCTATACATCTTAAAGGTTTTTTGTATGTACCTTGAAATACTTGCGCTTGGTCTTAAAGGAAGTGTTTATGACTTTGTCATTACGATAAATATTTTTTATTACAAGATTGCCCACACTTAACTGATGATGTAAGAATTTCAAAGGACCGTTAGATACATTCTATAGTAGATACATTTTTAGCATATTTCGATTTGCTAATTATAACGTGGTTAAAACATTAATTTCTCTTCTGAGAAATACGGTTTGAAATAGGGTGCTGATGTACGTTATTGTTGGATTGAATGAGCAAAACAAGGAAATATTGTTATATTACAACAATTGGTTTGAACTTCACTTTTACATAAAACATGAGCAACCTATGATTAAGAAGACGGGTGGATTAAATTAACATAAACCCTAAAACTCATTTTACCTTAAACAAAATGTTTTTTTTCTGTTTTCAAATTTTCTATATTTTAATTATTGAAACTACGGTTCACGTCATACTCAATGTATTGTTTCACTGTCACTTACGTCAGTGGCATAATATTGGTACACGGAAGTATAATTAACACATCCAAAGTAAAATAATCACACAGTTTCTTATTATTGTGGATTTATTGGGAATACATCTGTTACTCTATATCGTATAAACATGATTTTTACCTAAAAAAATCGTACAATGTTTTTTTTAGGAATTGAAATATTCCCTCGTGATTGGTGCGTAACCAAGCACTTGTCAACACTGACAGGGATGTTTAAACAAAGACCACATATCAATGGTTGTCAGTGTCTGTATGACACAAAATCGGACTGACAGACACAACAATAGTAAATGTTTGTGGAAGGGCCAGTGTGATGTATTAATATGTTGATATATCGTACCGTACTGTGTAAATCATATTTACAGAGTGCTTATTTAAAATGTGCTACGTGTTTTTACGGATGTTAATAAGGAATACAACTGCTTTGAAAAATAGTTCGCTTTCTCAGCAGAGAATAACTTACTCTCTATGGTTATTTTTTAGCTCCTTAAGCTACGCAATAATTTAAAACTCTCTTATAATATACAGTTTTCATAAAATAATGGTAGGGTTTGAACTGTCTGTAAAACTATTATGAGACGAATAAAATGTTTCATATATCTACCACTGTGTCCTTCAGCTCATTGTTTTTTTTTTTTTATTGAAATTAAACCCACTAAGATAAATAATCAGACATATAGTGTCCACTGTAGCAAAAGAAATGGTGCATAACGTGTGGGCTGAATTAGGTCATCATCTGGACGTCTAAAGAGAAAAATGGTGCCCATGTTGAAGTTTATTAGCTATGTATAAAACCTTTTTGGTGTCAGGAATTCAACAAAATAAGTTTTTTTCTATCTCATCTCATGTCCTCTTATCTTATGTTTCAGATTGCTACAATTGTTGCATACACTGGTTACCAAGGATCGTATAGAACTGTTATTTACCTTTAACAATGAATCTAACCAATGAAGATGTCGACGTCAGACTTTTGGGCCAGTGACGTCATCATGATAGACTACATAACACAATGTATTCTCTTCTTCTCCCTTATCCCAGGTAAATTCTGGTCTGTGACTCAATTAAAAAAAAACATTATTCGTACTCCTTATCAATTTTATTGTATTTAAAGCATTATTTTAAACTGCAATATAAATAGAAGAAGAATACCTTTTTGATTTAACTAGCATTTTTCCAGGATATAAGGGGAGTCGCTACTGAAAAATTACCAATTTTGTAAAAAACAAATTTTTTTTATTATTTTTTATCTTGTTTTATGGATTGTAAGGTTTCAGAAAAACATAACATTTGGTATAATATATATTTTTATTACTGTGAAAAAATATTTGAAGTGAAGCGTGCACACCTCTTTTGGGGCATCAACTAGGCCTAACTATTACAGCTATATGAATGAAATTTTTACCACACAATGTTTATACTATAAATTAACTTTCTGTGCATGGATATTGTAATTGGGTAAATAAAAGTACATGAAAACAATTTATAAAAATGTATTACCTATAAATTTTTCTAAAACTTATTTTTTAAGCCATAACTTATAAACTTATTGAGAAAATAACATGAGTATGCACAGAAAGTTTGTGCTTGCTTTGCTCTTTAAAATGATGTATCAAACAATAAAATTGGTTCAGTAGTTATAGTTATAAGAGATTTAAAATACCCCATTTTTTCCCGCCAAAAACTTTAAAAACTCCAAAAAGTATGTGAAAAAAATGTTTCGTACTTTAACAGCAGTAAATCTTTTTCTAAGACTAAATGAACTTAAAAAAGTATATATGATAATTTTTAAAAGGATTTTTTTTTATAATCACTAGTTTTAGTAGTGACTCCCCTTAACTTGAAATTTTTGAAGTAAGATAAATCCTTATTGTACTTAAATAAATATCAAGAAATCATATATATCTTGAGAAGAGTAAGCAGAACCACTCCTTTACTTATCTATTTGTCAAAAGAATATATCTCCTTTTGTTAGCTACAATCTGACTCTTTCAACCCAAAATCCCTGTACAATATATTACAGTTCACGCTTTTATTATCTAGAAGTGTCTTTTTTGGGCTGGAAAGAATTCCTTTCAGAAAATATAACTAATGGTATTCAATACTCCTGGGATAGTTACAGAGAGCACAGAATAGAAAGATAGTTACAACATTATTGTTTACTTAATTAAACTGGCATGTGGAAAAAACATAGAATAAAATAATATTATTATAATAGTGTAATTTTTTAATTTATTCTGAGTACTTATAATCTACTATTAACGTTGTACACGACCCAAGCAACAGACCCATTCGTTTTTTTTTTTTTTTTTTGCAGTAGTTACCAATTGTTTTCTGAATATCCGTTTGTTAAAAATTTTCAAAACATACAAACAAGGAAGTAAAATTTAAAAATACAGAGATAAAAATGTTAACTAAAGTGTGAAATTGTATACGACGGTGATAACTATTAGGAGTTAAGATTTTGGAAAAATTATAAAATTTGTCGGATAAAAAAACTAAAATAAAATTACAACGAAATACCGAAAAGCTATACCCAAAAATACAATCATGAATGAGCCAGGGGCAAGAGGAAGAATTAGAGGTAGAGGAAGAAGAAGGAGGAAAATAGGGGGAGGATGAGAATTATTAAAAGGAATAGAAGGAGAAGGGGGAACATGGATGAAAATAAACGTATCAATGTCTTTTAAGGGCAAGAAAACATAATTTTAGGATCTTGTCCGACTGGCTATTTGCTAGCTCGTTTCTGCTCAGGTCTTCTAGGGCTCCAGCTGACCGAGTTGACGGTTCCTTCTCACGCCAACCTGGGACAGTCAATCACACTCTATTGCTGGTTCAACCTGGACGGTGCGAGGCTATACTCCGTCAAGTGGTATAAAGACGAGTTTGAATTCTTCAGGGTCATGCCTGACAACAAGCCCCAGATGCAAGTCTTCCCTCTCGCTGGGATCATACTTGACGTGAGTTAATACGAGCTTTCATTATTTTGAGTTTCATTTAATTATTATCATTATTATATGGTCTACATCTAACTAAGATGTCAACACACAGCCTATCTAGCTAATGAGAATGATGGGATTTAACTGCATAGAAATCCTGCCGTTTTATCCAATGGACTACAATAGTTATGATTTCCTGAACTATTTTGTTCACAGTATGGTATTATAAATTCAACGGAGAGTACACAAATTCATACTAAATTTACTAGTTATGATATAAGTATATTGATTTTAAGATTTTTAATTTTATAAATGTAACGCTGTCATTTACTTTGCTCATTAATTTAAATAAAATAATAAAAAACCATGTAGTATTTGATTAAAATAATTTTAAACAGTTAAATCATTTGTCGATTTAGTATGGTACATGTTAAAACAAAATAAATGAAAAACAATATTCAACATTTCAAAAATGAATTTAAGGATCTGTTAATGCTTTTACAAAATTATAGTTTAATGGGCCTCTTCATTATTATTGTTAATAATAAAAAAATAGCATAGGTACATATGAAATTCAGCTCTTAAAAAAAGATGAAAAATAATCAAACGTAGATACAAACCCTCGTTGCAATTACAATCCTCTACAGACAGTGCCTTTCTGGTTTCGACTGTTATTAAATTAACAAAAACTAAATTTTTGCTTCTCAGAAATATCTAGTAGTTCGGTTTCGTAGGCTAATGTAATTAAAACCAAACACAATATTTCAATAACAGACGTAGGTGATGACATATTATTGACATACCCTTATTAAAGACGTAAACGTACATTTCCCCTCTTCTACAAAACGTCAATATTGCTTTTTAGGACGATTGTGTGTAATCTGTGTAAGTCTTCTTTGTATGTGACGAGTCCTGAATATCGCATTCCCCAGAAGGAAATTACCATTGAATGTCGCTTATAACTTCAGCATTGTCATTCTTCTACATCTGTATATTCTACATTTTTATTAACTCTATAATTTTATAACTAAAATAATTTGAATATTCAAATAATTAATTGTTCTTTTTGTGAGTTTAAAAAAATATACTATGTAAAAGACTTACGACATAACTAAAAATTGCATAAAGAGATAATGCATAATGTATTTTTAGTCTTCAAAATTAATTAATTTAGGTAAATATAATGGGATTACAAAGTTAAGGGTGAAAGTTGTTTGCGATTCCAAAGTGTTGTTTAGTTTAAAAACAACTTACCCTTGAAAGATTCCTTAGGTTAAAGGTCAAAGCTACTGGAAAGGTTTAAAAGATTGTCTTGGAATATCAAACTGTTTGGATGATTTTGTTATTTTTTCATACAATGGAAAATTAAATTCAGAATTATTAACTAAAGAGCCAGTTATCTACAGTACTATGGACATAAACATTTTTGAAGTCTGCCATCTCATTCCATCGTAAAATTTTGCGAAATAAACCTAGCCGTAAGTTCATAGATAGATACAGCACCGAAAATGATTACTATTGGTTTATTATCGTCCCGATATGGACCTAGGGCTCTGCCCGTGAACTCTTAGGTTCTCAGGTGTAGATACAGGAAGAAGTTGATAATGGCTACTTCTTTATAAAAACCAAGAAGAAACCGTAATTTTGTCTATCATACACTTTTAAAAATCTAACAAAAATAATTAAACTCTTATTTATCAGATCACAATGCTTTTATTTGTCTTCTATAATTATTACCTGCGATTACATAAATTTTGTTAAGTACCAATTGGCTATCAACCTTTAAAAAATATTTAAGTATTTGTTTTCAAGAACTGTCTATATGTGGTGATATTACTGCAAATCAGAAAAGAAACCTAGTAGTTTGAACCACGATTATGTTTAATAGTATGTAAACGACTCACTTTGGTCCAAAACGTAATTAATTTATATATTCTTCACAAACTTTTACCCCTGAGTCTTTGGAGGCTGGCGGCCTTCTTGTATTAATCTCAAACAGCCGCTGAGGGGCTATTTACCATCTAAAATTTGTTTTTCAACTACAAGCCACTGTGTTAGAGTACGACTGCTACTTTGAATCATTCACTGTCTGGGTTGTACCAGACTGACAAAACCGATATGACGATTGTTTCGTAAAAAATGTGTGTGCACGTTCACCTTGAAATGAAATGAAATGAAATGAAATGAAATGCTTTATTGTCGTTAAAACTGAGTACAAAGTTCATGACAATCGTCAAAAGAAAAAGAAAACAATCAAGATGGCAACTAAAACTAAAACTCTAAACCAAAGTACTCCTCTCCAAACTACTTTAACTACTTTAAATGTTTTCCTCTCCATGAAATATGTATGTTTACATAAAATTGTTGTGTTTGTCTTGTAAAGGAAAAGCTAAAAAAAATTAAGTTAATAAAACAAAATTCCAAAATTTGGACCATACTCAGTAGCGATTCCCCTTAAGCATTAAGCATTAATATTTTGTTTCCACTTATCAGGAGTCCCGGTCAGACATGAACAAAGTGAGTTTGTCAGAACTGAGTTTCAACAGCAGCGGAAATTACCGCTGTGAGGTGTCCACGGAGGCGCCAAGGTTCGAAAGTATCTTCAAGAGCAGCAATATGACAGTTCTGGGTCAGTAGATAGTTGTCAATATGATAAACAAGTGTATATGAATTATTAAGTTATAAAATCCTTATACAGCAAGCAGTATAGCAGTTCTATATGTTAAGCTAAATATGAACCATAAGAATTGAATATTTGTGCACTTGAGTGAGACAATTAATTGTGTAGATTTGTTTTCGATCGAGATCAGCTGTTTTGTTTGTTGGTAAAATGCTAATGATTACATCCAAAGTCTAGTGACTCGTCTCGCTATAGATACACGGTTACATACACTGCTGTACAATTAATATAACAATATAATTACTGGTATATTTGGCAAATTCATCAGTAGAAAAGGTCATTTGTTAAGGGGGTAATTAATTGATTGTAAACTAATTAATATTTACCACAATGAATTGCCTAAGTCTACTCAACTCTAATCAACCATATAACAACTACCGGCTTGTCAGTAAATAACTGGTACTTGTGTTACTAACACCATTAGATATCCCAAGCTAGCTACTTCGGAGATGGAAATTTAGTCATTTTGGTAAAATCCATAAACTATTTGACAAGATCTTGATTGAAATATTTTTTATATATTCATCAATCAACTTTCACTGTAAAACAATAAATACCATCTATTTCTGTGGTATAATTTAATAGCTACAGTAACTGTATGTATCGTAAATTAAGTTGGCACAGCTTGGATTCACACGACAGATACTTGTACCTCTTATGTTTAGCGAGATATTTAGAGTTTGGTTGATAAATCTAACCCAAACTGACACAACCTAACAAACCTATAACCTATAAACCTATAAAGAAATTTATAAATAGCTATTTACATTACAAGTGTAGTAAGAGCGTTTTTACATCACGCAGGTGAATGTTGTGCAACGAGCGAAGGCGAGTTGCATAATTCACCGAAGTGATGTAAACACGCTCTTGCGTAACGTGTAACGTACAAGATTTTACCTGACCCGACAATATTCAGGAGGTTTCGAGCAATATGCTTCATTATCAATTTCACTCATCTTCTAACAGTGACGTTCATTTACAAACAAAAGCTGGGTTAGGAAAATTCTTCAAAGCATAACAATAAAATTCAAACACACAGCTGATTTCTAGCGTTGAACGTCGTTGGCTCCATAGAGGTATATTTTTTAAGTAATCCACTCAATGTTATTTAAATGGGTTTCATTACATCACCGAGTGAGTTTTTTTCAACTTTACATCACTCGAGAAGTAAGGAAGTTGTATACATCACGCTTGGGATAGGGAAGTTTAACATGGCGGGTTAGGTAAAATATATTACTTATTATTAGTGAAGGTCATTGAATGACATTGCTTCGTATATCTTTAACCACTCAGTAGATAGAAAAGTTCTAAAATACCTTATCTTAATTATATAATAAATGTTATATACCTTATAATTGGTGTTCCAGCATACCCAGACAGAGACCCGGTGATTTCCGGGACCCAGGAGCACTATCTGCCTGGAGACTACATCACAGCCAACTGTACCTCTGGACAGAGTAATCCTCCGGCCGAGCTGGAGTGGCTCATCAACGGAGCCAAGGTAACTCAGTCATTATCATGTCAAGAACAATCTATGTTAATCGTAGTGTAAAATTGTATTGATCCATTAACAGTCTGTACGTTTTGGTATAGTTAGACCTAATGCAGTTAAAACGTACATCTTCATGAAGTAAGCTCAGTGACCAAAGACATCTCGGTTTAGTTTCTAACACTTATTTCTTAACACTTAGTTTATAAAGATTACCGGATCTTTTCCGTTAATTCACCACCACTAATTAGTATATTAGGTTAGGCAGGACTATGTTAACGGAAAAGGTCCATAAACATAGTCCTAACCTAACCTAACCTAACCTTATGTACTAATTAGTGGTATTGAATTAACGGAAAAGACCCAGATTACTAGTTTCTCTCAAGATCCAACAATACAAACGCTTGGAAATAGTGTAAGCAAAATATTAGTGGTCAATTTCATAGGAATTACATAGTATATAGTACAATTACATAGTTACATAGTACAATTACATAGTTACATAGTACAATTACATAGTACATAGTACAGTTACATAGTACAATTACATAGTACATAGTACAGTTACATAGTTACATAGTACAATTACATAGTACATAGTACAATTACATAGTTACATAGTACAATTACATAGTCCATAGTATAATTACATAGTTACATAGTACATAGTAAAATATAAGTAGGAAATCGTGTTGTTAGCCATTTCAGTTTTCCATTAATTTATTTCGAAACGCGCATGCTGGTAATTAAATATGTCCTTAAAATTGTTCAGCAAGAGGTGATTTAATTGCCTCTAAAAATCTGTGTTTTGGTGCCTTTACAGATTAACAATTCACAAGGCTAGATAATCACTGGTAAGGTTAACTTTAAACGGCAAAGATTTTGATCAATAAACTACACACTCAAAAGTAAATAAGTGTTCAATTGGATGAGACCAGTGAGCTTGGGACATTGTCATTCAGAAACTTTGACTTAGGATACAAGAAAAAGAACCTGAAAGAGTCCTATTTTTTCGATTTAGCGATTCCCAAGGTACTCCAAAGAATATTTAATTTATACTGTATGTTTGTATTGTATATTTGGATTAGATTACCTCGGGGAACAGCTATACAAAGCTATTTAATGACAGCGGTTGCGTTTCAGTTCCGTCATAAAATCCATATATAAATCCCAAAGTACGCATGAACCTTTGAGAAAACTAAAGGTCACACCCCCATAAACCATATACTTAAAATGTTCGTCATGACGAGAAACCTTGCGCAAAACTATCATTATTTCATAAATTGCCCTTTAAGTTCGTAATTCTTTTCTAAAGGGAACTTTCCGTATACCTAATGTTTAAAATACCTCAGCTGTACTTATTTGTTTGTTATTCTTGAAATTTATTACCTTATTAAAATCAGGTGTGATTATTTGTTTGTATTACTGTATTCTGTCTTGTTTATTTCAGCTTAACTTAATCAATCAATAGTTTTATACATATGTAGTCAGACGGGGTGAAGCCCGTGGGTATTTATCAATGCAGTTCACAATTGGACCAAAGCCACAAGAGTACATGGAGCCATCCACGTCTGAAAATCTTAAATTATTAAACTCTGAAAACTCTTTTTAGCTAACTCGATTAACGTAATATTTTAATATCTTGATACCCCAGAAACAATACCTATAGATAATCCTCGAATCACCTCTAGGCAGACTCCTGGTTCGTAGAGAAGTCTCTGCCAGTCGTCACTTCTACAAGGGAGCCTCTGTACACGAGATCCCTCGGGTTGAGGTTCCAGGCACACAAACGCTACTTCCAGAGTCTGGACGCCACTCTGCACCTTCGCTGCACCTCCAAGGTGGCTGACCTTCCTCTGTCTTACGCTGACTTCTACCCCCATCTCAGCACACACCTCACCAACGAAAAACTCGCCCAGGAGATACACGCCAGCAAGGGTGAATATCAAACTATTGCTCGATAGGAGTTCAGATACTGATTTGAAAAACATATCACAAGCTCAACTTGTACAAGCTACTCATACCTAAAGTACTACAAAAGTACTAAAAAGAACTTAAGAACTAAAAAGCCTACAAGAGTAATTTCACATTTTATGTATTTGGGAATACAGCTAAATGTTCAAATATTACTCTATATCGTTGTTTGAAGATGCATCTAAAAAGTACTAAACACATCGTATGATTAAAATGCAACTGTGGTTAGATTAAATTCCTTGTTACATTTATTACTGATTTGTTTACCTTTTTACCGATGAAGCAAATTTTTTTGCCAGGATGATTTATTAAATGTCTGGCAAACAAAGGCAGCTAGGTTCAGTTTTCAACGATTAAAATATTTATAAAAAGCTCATTACCATTTAACCAATTACATAATGTTGTATAACTTAAAACGTATGGAACAATGAGTGATTATTAGCTTAGATTGTTAAATTTAACTTCAAAGCCAAACCATGTACCGTTTCATTTAACTGTTTAAAACTTCGAAGTAGGTTTAATACATAACGATGTGTAAAAACTAAATTGATATTGAACACGTTAAAACTAAATTGTTGGGTTTTCAATGTAATCCAACCAACTGAACATAAAAATAAACCTTAAAAATGAACTGAGGTAAATCCTCTGGTGCGGATTTCGGTCTGAATTACTGTACATTTCTTCCTCAATAAAATGTATGATCATTATTACCTTTAGCAAATTAAAATTATATTATTTTCTGAAAATCTGTGGTCGTATGAATATATATACATTTTTCAAGCTTATATTTAGTATTCCCAATATTTTTTTTCATTTAAACGCCACTCGTACATTTTATCCCCCCTTAAAAAATGTATACCACCACTCGGCTGCATAGCCTAGAGAGCCATTATAATTTTTTTGTATTTTTTTACTACAAAAGCATGCAAATTAAATAGTATAGTAGATGACTAATGATGATCTAATATTGACTGATAATGACAAAACACATACATGAAAACATACAATAAACTTACCCAGTAGAATCTTCCACATAACAGGATCTTCATGGTATAAAAAATGATAGCACATAAATAAACAAAATAAAGACAAAGGTACAAGTTCAATTTAAATCTTACGAAATTGTTTCACGGAGAAGACAGATTTATTTTAACATTTTTAAACATTTTCATTTTAACATTTCATTTAAAACATGAAACCGGGTGCTGAATCGGTACCGTAAAGGCACGGAAATAGAAAATAAAATGTTAAACCAGTTTACCAATAAGCGCTACCTCAGTTATGGCCATAAAGCAGTCATAAAACACGTAATGGATCAAGGGAACGCGAGTTGATGGAAACTGTTGTTTTTTACAGTTCGTTAACGATCTGAGAGAAAACATTTGGCAATTACTGACTGAGAAACGATGTTTGAAATCCATTAGTCGAATGGAATAGTCCGCTTGATAATTACGCGTTGATAATTGTGGGCAAAGCGTTTTCGTGAACAATCATTCGACAGATGGTTGAAAAAGTTGATAGGAATATAATGTAATCTATTACAATATAATTTACAACTATCGTTGGGATCGGGATTTTGAAAAATCTAAATTGTATATTTGGTAATGGTTATGGTTAAGAGAACAAATTAATTATTCAGGGAAAATGTTTTCTTTCGGTCTACACTCTACTTCCAATGATTTTGTTAAATAAAATGCCAGTTCTTATAGAATAATTGCTAAGAATTTTCGTTGAAAACCTCAATAGGAAAGATATAATAGTAACATTATAAATATCCCAAGACAATAGATCGGGAAATAGTTAAGCACAATTTTTGTTTAACCAGTTGAACTGTATAACAAAACAACAATAGACAAACAATGTGTTCCGTATTAGTACTATGAGACTGATATGACCATTCAGTTGAGTATTAAAATATTAAACATTTTCTTATCATAGTTGCGAGACTTATTTTTCTATACTTTGTACAATAGGTATGAGTTTAAAAATCAGTGCATAGTAATTAAATATACTGTATTTGGTTTGTTCCAGGCTCATTCTCAGGCACACAAGATTTGCTGCTTCAAGTAGCTCTTCTATTACACATCTTGCTCAACATGTTATGACACGCACATTAAAGTCCGCGCTCTTGTACTTATTCCATTTGTAATCATTTTCGTGTGATATCATGGCTGTTTTATGTATAGTGTTTGTAGCATTGTTATTTAATTAAATACATATATTACATAACTCCAAAATGTCGATATCTTCCTTTTTGTCCATCAAAAAGGTGTTCAAATACCCCAATTTATTAGGGTCATATAATTCCAAAGCTTTAATACATTGTGAGTTTTTTTACTTTATCCTATACATAGTAAATAGAGAAAGTAGGCTATTGTTTTCGTCAACAATTTTGAGTTTGAGTTTTAAGTGGATATATCCGTTTTTGGTACCTCTGAATCCTAAAAAAGCAGTTCAAAAGTTATTGTAACTTACGCTATTTCCCCATAAAAACTCCATAAAAATTGAAAAATGGGTTATTCGGAAAAAACCATTCTGATTGAAATTGGTCCGTTATGGTCTTTGTAGTTCTAAGCAAAATAGTGCAACCTCCCATTCCTGTAATAATTACGGTTCAAAACATAATGCATTTTGTGTGATTTAAATACCATAGTTACTCTCATCGCTTACCCATGTTAAAGGTAGTTGACAAGCTTTGGGAGAAAGTATGTGTCAGACTGCTGGTTAATACTGGCTAATACTGGTTATTTTAACACATATTTGATAATGAACATTTAAAAGAAAGTGTTGCACCGTAATTTCTGAGGGTCTGGATTCTGAAAACGTTTTAGAGTATTTGCATTTGTAATAAGTAGGTACTTATTTGGGAGTTGACAATGGAGTCAATTTATGACAATTTAAATTGTCTTTTACGAATCATCGCACAAATTATTATTTATTAGACACTGTATTGCTTTGCTACCCTTAAAATTTAATTTTTCTTGATGGAAACTATCCACTTTATTTTGGAATGGGCATTTTCAGATAAAATATTACTTGGCTTTAAATCAGGAGCCGATATTGGAAATCCCACCGGGTCAATCACTACAGCTCCAAATCCATAGAAGCTTAGTTAAGTGATTCTCTTTGAGCGTTGAGATTGTTTTTATTTCAATAACGTTTAAAATATGCAATTTAATTGTTTTCACTGATTAGTAGGCTATTCAAAGTACTGTAATTATATGGACGTAAACGTAAACATAAATCTATTAACTTATAAACTATATCTGATGTGAAAATATTTAGCCCATTTACCGCTGTTTACCAAACGTCAGTCGAGAATAAAATATAATATTAATAATTGATTTAATAACGCACTAATTGAAGATTATTACGGAATGTTCACAATAAAACCACTGTTTTACAAACGAGCTAAACCTTTATTTTTATAACATTTCCTTAAGGAGCGCTAGTTAATTATTACTACGAAATAGAATGTTACAGCTTTTATAAAGATAACAATTCAATTCCATTGCTGCAATGTGGTAGTCTCCATCTTCTAATCTTTCTGTTATCATTGGCAGGTTAGACAGTTATTAAACCTTAGAATTACAAGAACAAAAGTGCTATTCTAAATACTTTATAGAAGTTACATAAATTGGTATACTTTAACATTTATATTCAAAAATACCAATTAGTAAAACCTTTTAAAAAAGCTCAATACGTGGTATCAATTCATTAATTAAAGTTTCTTTTAAATTTTAATAAACTGGTATGATTGTCGTTTTTTGAAAGACGGAAAAATTCATTATAGATGTTATATTTCCTAGTCTGTTGATATGATGTATATTTACTTTTGACTAATTTAAATTGTCATATGGTTTTGTTTTGTTGTTGTCATAATAGTTTATATATGAGTTTTTGAAAATAGAAGTGTGGTTATAAAAAGTCTAGTTTTTTCTAATTTTATCTTTATAGTTTTCATCACTTGAAGAAGGTAGGTGTGTAGTGTAAAACAACATTTGGCGACCGTGACAGGATTTGTTTTTCACCTATCTCTATGATGGAAAATCTAAAGAAAAATAGAACAGTATATAGGGCTTATTTTTCTAAAACATTGAACAAACTAAACAGTTTAGTTGAAAATGAAACCACAGACAAAATTGAAATTCAAACCACTCTAAAGCTTTTGGAGATAAAGGTTGATGAACTCCAGGTTTTGAATTCTCAGATCTTTGATTTGTTATTGAATAATGATAATGTTTCTGAAGATGAGCTGTTAGCTGAAACAATCTTAGCTGGAGAATATTTAGCTTTGTTTGAAGCTGTAAAATTAAGAGTCCAGAATTTACTACAACAAAGTAACGATGTAGTTAGTGCGCATTCTGGATCTTGCTGTAACAATGCTAGTAAGAAGAAATTTAAGCTCCCTAAAATAGAGATTAAAAAGTTTGATGGAGAATTGATCAATTGGCTACCTTTCTGGAGTCAGTTTAGCAAAATTCATAGTGACTCAGACATTGATTCAGAAGATAAGTTTCAATATTTATTGCAATCCATAGTTACCGGATCAAGAGCTTTTGATGTAGTTCAGAGTTTTCCTCCGACTGGTGCAAACTATCCAAAAGCAATTGAATGTTTGAAAGCCAGATTTGGTAAAGATGACCCATTGGTAGAGGTTTATGTCAGGGAACTCTTGAAAATTGTTTTACGAAATGCTCTAGGAGGCAAGAACACAATGAACTTACAAAGTTTATATGACAAACTTGAGTCTCATATGCGTGCATTAGATACCTTGGGAGTTACAACAGATAAATGTTCCTCCATATTATACCCGTTAGTTGAAAGTTGTATGCCTGAAGATCTCTTAAGGACCTGGCAAAGAAGCCCTTTGAAAGTAGGTACAGACCCTCAGGAAAGACTCAACAATTTAATGAAGTTTATGTTGTCTGAAGTTGAAGGGGAACAGAGAATCGGTCTAGCCATGGCAGGTTTTGGGATAAGTAGCTCGGGGAAGGAGAAATCTTTTAAAAGGTCATCTCAAACTCAACCAGGTAAGATAGACATACAAACAGCTTCATGCCTCATGTCCTCTGGTAAAATTCAAAACTCTTATACAAAGTGTGTCTTTTGTGATAAGAATCATAAGAGTAGGAACTGTTTTGCTGCTCAGAAATTGCCATTGTCTGATAAGGTGTCCACTTTAAAGGAAAAGAGGTGCTGTTTCCTTTGCTTGCAGCCTGGTCACCGTATTAAGGATTGTAGAACTCATTTGTCTTGTTCTAATTGTAAAAGGAAACATTATCCTATAATGTGTCCTAGTAAGCAAATGTGTTGATGAGGTATCTAAAGAAATGACAGTAGTGGAAGATACCGCTTTGGCCAATAAATCAAGTAGCAGAGTGAAAGTGTTTCTGCAAACAGTAAAGGCAAGATTAAGAACCCCAGGTAGTAATCAATTTGAGACTGTTCGCATTCTTTTTGATTCTGGTTCACAGCGTTCTTACATTTTAAAGGACTTGGCTGAAAAAATGAAATACGAAAGCTTAGGAGAAGAAACAATCATACACTCTCTTTTTGGTAATGTAAAATCTGGTGAAGTAATTCATAACAGACATCATGTGTTTCTAACCAGTCAAGATTACAGTTACAACTGCAACTTTGAGGTATTGAGTCAAACTACCATATGTGGGGAAATTTCACCTGTTACCGAAGGTCCCTGGATACAGGAACTTTTAGAGAAAAAGGTTTCTCTGACTGACATACATGAGACCAAGCTACCAATTGGTATTTTGATTGGAGCGGATATAGCGGGTAAACTATTCACGGGAAATATGATTCAACTGAAATCTGGACTAGTGGCTATGGAAACTCTTCTGGGATGGACAATGATGGGTAAGGCTATAATTAGTGGTAGTACAGGTTCAACTACACTCTCCACTGTTGTAACATAAATGTTTATTAATGATGCTGACATATCGGAACTGTGGAGATTAGACACTATAGGCATTACTGATACAAGTGAATCAGTTTCCAAAGAGCAAAAGGCTTTGGCAGTTAAAAAGCATTTTAAAAAAACTACCACTATAAATGAAGAAGGTCGATATGAAGTACGTTTGCCCTGGGTTGATTGTCATCCTCCTTTGCCTAGTAACAGAGAGTTAGCCGAAAAGAGGTTATCAACAGTTGTAAAGAAATTGGATGGTAACAATTTAACCGAAGACTATGACTCAGTTTTTAAACAGTGGTTAAGTAATGGCATCATTGAAGCTGTACCTTCTGACGATTTGAACAACAACTTTCACTACCTGCCACATAGACCTGTAGTGAAGGAGAGTAGTATTACCACACGAATTCGTCCAGTGTTTGATGCATCAGCAAAGACCAAGTTTTCACCCTCATTGAACGACTGTATTGAAAATGGACCAAATTTAATTGAACTGACTCCTTCTGTTATGATGCGTTTTAGGGAAGGGAAGTTTGGAGTTATTGCTGATATAGCAAAAGCCTTCTTACAGATATCGTTAAATGTACAAGATAGAGATTTTCTTCGGTTTTTATGGTTTGACATCAATGAAAGAAGCCGAAGTATTGTTTACCGCCATAAAAGAGTTGTTTTTGGAGTGAAATGTAGTCCATTTCTTCTAGGGGCAGTAATTGATCTGCATCTTCAAAAATCTATGACTTCTCAGGAGTATGATGATAATGTGGTAAAGAAGCTGAGTAAAAGTTTTTACGTGGACAATGTTTCGACCAGTGTAGATACTTATGAGGAACTAAAACACTTTGTTGAAGAATCGAAACAAGTTATGGCTGCCGCTAATTTTGATTTAAGAGGATGGCATGCCACGAGCGTCATTGAAGAAGGAGATACCAAGTTCGTCACTAATGTTTTGGGAGTTCAATGGAACTATATTGAGGACGTTCTGTTTTTTAACCTGACGAACTGTATTAAAGATTTGGACGTGTCTCGAATCACAAAGAGAGACATTTTGTCCATATCTCACAAGATCTTTGATCCAATTGGTATCCTTTGCCCTATTACTTTGTTTCCTAAACTTCTTCTGTAAAGTATGTGGGACTTGAAAATTGACTGGGACACTGAAGTAAGTTCAGACATCAGTAAACGATTCATACTGTGGTATAATGAGTTAAGCGCTCTTGAAAAAGTTAAAATACCCCGATGGATAGGTAAAATGACTATGGATTCAAATGGTTGTAGTATTCATACATTTTGCGA